CCCCTTAATGGTTTGGGGAAAGTTTGCTCCATTTGGTAAGCATATTGGCTTCTGTTGCTGAGGTATGACTTTAGTTAGTTGAGGGAGTGCCCTCTTATACCATAGTGTGACAATTTTATGTGGAGCAAATCATGATCAACTGAATCAAAAGTTTTACGTAAATCAACGAAGATCCCCAATGGGACTTCTTTTTTCTCGAGTGCAGTGTATATTTGTTCTAGCATGTGTATAATAGTATCATTCGTGTTGATAAATACGAATGTCGGTTCTCTGAACCATTCATCTACAAAAAGTATCATTCGTATTTTTATTAGACCTGAACCCAAACTGACAAGGGTTGAGTATGTTGTGGGAGATGAGGTGGGAACAGAGTCAGTCTCAGTGTCATAGGTTAGCTTTAGCGCCATTAGGATTGCAAACAATTAAATTTGCAGTGTAGACGCCCAGTTGTTAATTCTTATGCTTAACTCAACAAATTTATTATCGTTCTTAACTAGGGAGGTGGCAACAAGAGCAGATGCAGCCCTGCCAAAAGACTCCTGTTTAGATCCATCAGTGTATATGCAGAGTAGGCTACCACCAATATTCATTTTTGCAAGTTCATGTAGTATAACGGTTCTGTTTGCGATATCAAATGCAGATTTTAGATCAAGAAATGTGGTAAAACTAGTAGAGGTATGTGCAGTGAACTCATAGAGATAAGGGAAAAGTTGGTGTCTGATTCTGTAGTACTGTCTCTTAAGTATCATTCTTTCAAAAGTTTTACAAAGACAACTAGTCAAATAGATCGGTCTAAATGTATCACAAGTTACAGTCACTACTGAAATATTTGTTCCAAGACCATTTTCTATGAGTTCGAGTGAGGTAGTGAGGTAGTGAGTGGCAGTATAAGCGATCTCTCCCACGTAAACAGATATGACAGCCAGGAAGATCACTCTCTAAATTACTCCATGGTGATTATTTTACATTATTTTTGCTTGTAGATATGCAGAGATGTAAACACTATATTGCTGCACATAATGCATCTTATAATTAATTTGGTTATCTGGTAATAAGTGAAGTGTGCTGGTAGATTATATTTTCTATTTTTTTTTTTTTGCTTGTTGGCTACACATAAGTAATGTTAAAGTGTATGTAAATTACTTGGGACTTGTGCGTTGGTCTTAGTGGAACTGGACATACCACTACGTCAGTTCTCTTTTCCTGAACTTGTTTTTCATCAGTTCTGAGCAACCGGTTCCTTAGAGGGTCCCTTGATGCAAGTGAGGGGGCTTTTGATCCAAGGAACTGGAATTAACCTCCCCTTTCTTGAATCGTACCCGAATGCCTCCCAGTCCTCAGGCCCTGTATGACCCCTACAGGTTTAGTGTTTCCCCATAAAAAAAAATCGGTGAATTCTTTGGTGGGGGTTTTGTTTTGGGGAAATTAGAACTGTGTCCGTTCCCTAATTTAAAGCCTGTGCCTTCACACCCCCCCCCGGGGCGGCAAAATCCTCGGGTTTAGCGCTTCCCCTTTGTTATAATAATTGATGGGGGTGGGAACTCTTGATCTAGGAATTGGATCTGTGTTCCCCTATTTGACATAATAAAATAATAATATGAAATAATAATAAACAAATAAAATATGCAAAACATTGTACATTTTAATAAGTTTATAAACATGTAAATGGTGCTTGTTTTAAAAATAAGTAATAATTTCTGATACTTATTTTAACAAGGGGAAAAGTTGGGTAAGGGGTAGCGGGGACACAAGTGTAGGAAAGGGTAGTTGGCACAAGTGTAGGAAAGGTTTTGGACACAATTGGGAAAGTAGTTGGACACAAGTGTGGAAAAGGGTTTTTGCCAAGGTGTAAGGTAGTTGGACACAGTGTAAGTAAGGTGTCGGACCAAGTGTAGGAAGGGATTTGGGACACTGTAGGAAAGGGTGCTGGCAAAGGTAGGTAAGGTAGTTGGCACAAGTGTAAGAAAGGGTATTGGACACAAGTGAGGTAAGGTGCGGCCCAAAGTGTAGGAGGTAGTTGGACAAAAGTGTAAGAAAGGTAGTTGGACAAAGTGTAGGTAAGGTATTTGGACACAAGTGTGGAAAGGTTTGGACAAAGTGTGGAAAGGTAGTCGGGGACCGTGAAAGTAAGGTATTTGGGAACAAGTGTGGTAATTGTCTGGACACAAGTAAACCTTATAAATTGTATACCTATTAATGTTCTCACAATTATATCACCAAATTTTAAAACCCTAGGCCCAACAAAATTTGTTTTTTTTAAATAACTACCTAACAGAATACCCTTCTATGAATGTACAACAAGCAAGAACCCAATGCCCGTTTTGTAATATCATTTGTGCTTTATAGTTTTTCTGTTTACAATAATGTTTTTACTGATTTTCATTGTTTAGTTAATTTTAAAGTTAAAAATTTTAAGCCGCCCAAATGTTGCTATAAGGGGCTTTGGCATGCTGTCTTACCTGTTTTTTTTTGTACCTTGTATATATGCTAAAATTCTAAAAAAATAAAAAAAAAAAAATAAGGTAGTTGGACAAAGTGTAGGAAGGTATTTGGCCCAAAAGTGTGGGTAAGGTGTCTGGACCAATGTGGGTAGTAGTCTGGCCCAAGTGTGGGAAAGGTGTCTGGAACAAGTGTAGGTAAGGTAGTTGGAACAAGTGTAGGAAAAGGTGTCTGGCATAAGTGAGGAAATGTAGTTGGACACAAGTGTAGGTAAAGTATTGGGACACAAGTGTAGGAAAGGTAATTGGACACAGGTGTAGGAAAGGTAGTCTGGACAAAAGTGTAGGTAAGGTAACTGGACCAGGGTGTAGAAAGGATCGGGCACAATTATACTATTTAAGGATTTGATTGTTTTTGGGTGGAAAAAAGTGACTTTATAACATTACTGACAAGTGTGGTATTAAAAAGGAAAAAGTGCAGTGCCTTTGGGTATCTTTATTTTATGACTTTTTGCAACCCGGGAAACTTTTTTTGAGTCATTACAAAAATTTATAAACTAGAGCCGTGAAAAAAAAAGGTACTCTGTCCTTCAAACCAAAGGAAAGTATTTTTTTTTCAGCCTGGATCGTCTAAAGCAGAGGGGGGAATGGACAATATTTTAGGAGCCAAAAGAGAGGTGCAAAGTTTAAGAAAAGTCACAGGTGGGGGGACCCACAGTGGAAGTATGTCATAACCCAAGAGTTGGGCCCCAGGGTTGCAGTGAGGTTGGGGGGATTATCCCCTGTCCAAGATTCTATGGCATTACTGTGTAGACAAGTATATGCATTATGGTTTAAAATACCAACAAGTTATGAACAAACAAAAAACTGAACTTCCTTCTTCATCCTGTCGTCTAGCTTTTTTGTCAGCGTGATATGATAATTCAGAATTACAAAAAGATGTCGAAGGATGTCCTAGCTCGGTCGCTAGCGCCTTGGCTCTCACACTGGGTCCCAAGAGCAAATCCCCCGGTATGGGTGGAAAAATTAGGCTTGTTTCCTTTAAAACCTGCTTCCCTGTTCCCCATCAGATAAAATGGGTACCTGGGTGTTAGTCGATGATGGAGTCGATCTTGGGACAAAACGACCCCAATTTGCCTGAAATGCCTGATAAAATGGTTTCTATTAGTAGTACATGTATGTCATTTTATTCAGCTTGGTGTTACCCTTTTACATGTAGAAAAATAAAATATTATTTATTTTCTTCTCTAAAATGTGAAAAATTTGGAATTTTAGGGTATTTATTATTTTAGCGAATTATAAATAGTATTTAGCTCACTGTTTCAGTGTTCTGCATTGCCAAAATTATTTTATGCTCACCCTTTGTTTTTTTTTTTCAGGAGAGTAAGGTGGTATCAGTACTCCCGCTGGGAATGAAGCTGAGGAAAAGATACCTGGGCGAACTACTGTGGGAGGAGGAAATCTAGAAAAGCTAACACATCAGGAGCTTGTTAACAAGTGCCGAAACCTGCTAACACTAGCACACAGGGCTAAGGTTGCTAAAGATGGTGAGATTACATTCAGTTAAGCTATTTCAAAACTATGATGAAATCCAAAACAAACTACAATACAGTGGACCCCCGCATAACGATGGCATCGCATAGCGATTTTTCCGCATAACGATTACTTTTATCGCAAAATTTTTGCCCCGCATACCGATTAAAAACCCGCATACCGATTTTCGTCCGAGACGCGTCCAATGTGCCCTCAGCCAGCCTCACATGTGCCGCTCCGTCCCATTGTTTACCAGCCAGCCTCCGCGGTAACATCCAAGCATACACTCGGAATATTTCGTATTATTACAGTATTTTCGGTGCTGTTTCTGGAAAATAAGTGACCATGGGCCCCAAGAAAGCTTCTAGTGCCAACCCTGTGGTAAAAAGGGTGAGAATTAGTATGGAAATTAAGAAAGATTTTGAAGGGTTTGGGCTAACCCTGAGAAGCCTATGCCAGTTGTGGAATCCATTGTGCCTACTTCAAAGATTAAGGAAATGTGTGCACAGTGGTTGAACTGCAAACCTTTATAGATGAAAATCACCCTGACACAGCTGTTGCAAGCCGTGCTGGTGACTATTTCAATGACAATGTTGTGGCCCATTTTAGACAAATCGTAAAGGAACGGGAGGTACAGAGCTCTATGGACAGATTTGTTGTGCGACAGAGGTCCAGTGACTCATCAAGCTGGTCCTAGTGGCATTAAAAGAAGAAGGGAAGTAACCCCGGAAAAGGACTTGCTACCTCAAGTCGTAATGGAAGGGGATTCCCCTTCTAAACAGTAAGAAGATAATGCTCTCCCCTCCTCCCATCCCATCAATCATCACCAGATCTTCAATAAAAGTAAGTGTCATTTAATTGTGCATGCCTTTTTCAGTTTGTGTGTATTAAAATTAACATTTCATGTGGTAAAAAAAAATTTTTTTCATACTTTTGGGCGTTTGCACGGATTAATTTGATTTCCATTATTTCTTATGGGGAAAATTCATTCGCATAACGATTATTTCGCATAACGATGAGCCCTCTTGCACGGATTAAAATCGTTAACCGGGGGTCCACTGTATTATTTACATCAGTTCTATAATTCTTCAATCAAAATTGGATAGTAAATGAAATATACATTGTATTTCCCCCTTTCCTTCCTTCCTGAAAAAGCTAGAGTAATTCCTGTCTGAACAAAACTATGTATGACAAAATAATATACATTTCATACTATTGCACAGGTGTAGTTTTCATTACTTGTAATTAGCAGTGTTATTGAGTGATTTTCATAATTGTTCAAGCAGTTTACAAGAGTAATGATTAATAGTGATATGATACAGTAGACCATCAATTAAAATGCATTTAAATTGCACGAGATTGTCTTAGTACAAGTAAGAAATTGTAGTGGAAAAGTAGCACAGATAAAAGATTGATATGGAATGGCATTAACTGGGAAAGGATCAGTCTGGCCGCATTGTCACAGCACTGTGTACCAGGGATTTTTCCCCTATTGGTATTTTAAATGATCAAGACATAGCCTGTTTTCTATTATATGGCACAAGTCATCATGGATGATCGAGGCTGTTTGTTGAACGGTTTCAAACATTATTTCATTCTTACAGTGAAGATGTACCTGGCTACAAAACCTTGCATTCAGAGTTTCTCCTTACTTTTGACAAATCTCAGAATCATCCTCAGTTGTTTGCAGTCTGTAAATTGAAATGTTAAGGTTTTATTTTTACCACCTAGTACAACATTCTTGTTACACCCACTGGATCAAAGAGTTATTAGGACATTTAAGTGCCACTGCACATGCAAGGTAATGGAAAACTCATTGCTTTTGCTCTGAGACTGAAGTTCCAGAATTCTGTCATAACATTATCATTGCAGATACACTTGAATACATAAAAGTGGCATGGGAGATAGTGCCAAAGTCATCCATAAATGTAGGTCAGAATCAATTATTTCCTTCTATGGTGAAAAATTTCTCTAATTTTCCTGAAGTAAGTAGTCAGGTCAAGGGAACTGACTTCAGCATGGATTGTAATACATGAGGGCTTTTAAGATGTTCATGAAGAAGATACACATTAACTGTTAGACAACAATGACCAAAACCATGTCCAAAATAAAACAAGCTGGGAAGATAGCCTAAACAGGGAAATCCAAAACATTTCCCTTTAAAAAAAAATGAATTCTGGGGTTCTTGAGATCTCCCAAAACACTTCCCATTAAGAAAAAGAAAGAGAAGATGTAAACTAGAAGGAGAAAGATTTCCCTATACAGACGAAAGGGGAGAGTAAACAGAGCTCTGAGGGGCCCAAATATACCCTGAAATACAAAGGGGAGCCCCAATAAAATTTGGGCAGAAAATTAAACTTAAGCTGAAGGAATCTTAAAGGAAACAAGAATCACAAAACAAAAAACCCAAAAGGGAAAAGTTTGGAAAAAAAAAAAATATTTTTTTCTCTTATCCCAAATCTAAAAAAAACCCAAACCACCCAAATATTGGGCTCCGGGTTTTAGGCGGGATGGGCCCAAAACACAGATGAAAACCCAAAGGGAAATGGTGAGTTACTAAATTTCTCAATATCACCCCAGGGGTTCGTGAGCCACCCCAGACTAAAGTCCAAAATCCAAAATGAATTTTTTTATAAAACAAAAACCCAAAAATTTTGGGTTTCCACCCCAAAAAAATTTCTTGGCTATTTGAACTCCAAAAAAACCTAAACGAGGAAATTTTAATGACATGCTAAAGCACCTCCCCCACGCCTAACCATGGAACCCCCCGTTTTCCCCTTCAAAAAATTTGCAAAAGCCCCTCCCCTTCGTGCCTTCCACGTTTTAGGGAGGGGGAGAAATGGAAAACCGGCGGTCATCCAACCCACACAAAAAGGCAACAGGACATACCCCATTTCCCACAAAGGGGCAGAAAAGCAATTAAAAAGAACTACAGACTGATAGCACAAACATCCCTTTCCCCATAAAAAATCTTTGAGGGGGTTTCTAAAAGAAAGGGAATACCCAAACCCAAACCAAAAAATACCCATAAATTACACAACCCGGGGCAACAGGGGTTTAGAGCAGGTCGCTCCTTCCTGTTCCCAGCTGCGGGAAACCCCTATGACAAAGTCCGGTGCGTAGAGGATAAATAAAATACAGATGAATATACACAGACTTTGCAAAAGCTTTCAACAAGTGTTTAAACCCTGGGTAATAGCATACAAAATGCATGATGAAAGGGAATTTAAAGGGAAAAGTTGGTAGATGGGTCTACAACTTCCTGACAAATAGAACACAAAGAGTACATGTAATAGTAAACAGAGTAAAGTCCCAGGCAGCCACGGTAAAAAGCTCTGTTCCACAAGGCACAGTACTCGCTCCCATTCTATTCCTCATCCTCATTTCTGACATAGACAGAGATGTAAGACATAGCTCCGTGTCTTCCTTTGTGGATGACACTCAGATTACCATGGCAGTGACCTCCAGCGAAGACACCGCTAGACTCCAAGTGGATATCAACCAAATCTTCGAATGAGCCACTCAAAACAATATGAAGTTCAACGAGGAGAAATTTCAGCTACTCAGATATGGGAAACTTGAAGAAATTCAAAATTTGTCAGGGTATACGACAATTTCTAACCATACAGCGGAGTGGAAAAGTAATGTGAAGGACCTGGAAGTGATAATGTCAGAGGATCTTGCCTCCAAAGACCACAACAGTGTATCTATCTCATCTGCTAGGAAAATGATAGGATGGATAATGAGAACCTTCAAAACTAGGGATGCCAAGCCCATGATGATTCTTTTCAAATCACTTGTGCTCTCTAGGCTGGAATACTGCTGTAAACTAACAGCCCCCTTCAACGCTGGCGACATTGCAGACCTGGAGAGTGTACAAAGAATTTTCACGGCACACACAAGTACGATAAGGCACCTAAACTTCTGGGAACGGTTGAAGGTCCTTGATCTGTATTTCCTCAAACGCAGGCGAGAGAGATACATGATAATATACAGTTGGAAGGTCCTGGAAGGATTGGTACCAAACCTTCACGTGAAAATCACTCCCTATGAAAGCAAAAGACTCGGCAGGGGATGCAACATTCCCCCAATGAAAAGCAGGGGTGCCACGAGTACACTGAGAGACAGCACAATAAGTGTCCGGGGCCAAGACTGTTCATTTGCCTCCCAGCATACATAAGGGGTTTACCAATAACCCCCCGGCTGTCTTCAAGAAGGCAGAAGGCACTGGACAGGCACCTAAAGTCAGTACCTGACCAACCGGGCTGTAGTTCATACATCAGCTTGCGTGCAGCCAGCAGTAACAGCCTGGTTGATCAGACCCTGATCCACCATGAGGCCTGGTCTCAGACCAGGCTGCGGGGGCGTTGACCCCCAAAACCCTCTCCAGGTAAGCTCCAAGTAAGAAGCACCTACAAAAAAATGCTGGAGGACCTCAGTTCCCAGTTAGGAGAGAGGAAGATAAGAAAAGAGGATGATGAACCACAACAGTCCAGGAATTAAGTGAGAAATTTCACATTATTGCCAACTTGACAGATTTTTTTTTATTTATTAAGAAAGACCTTGTCATGTCCTGAAGCATTGCTGTGAAGTGGGGTCTAAAACAGCTGATGATGCCTTATTGTTACCTGTATAAGCATATACTGCTGGGAATAATGGAGTTGAGATCCAATACAGAACACTTTACTAGCCACTGACAGTTCTGCATCATTGAATACAGTAGCATGTATTGATCTGAGTTCATTTTGTATTGTGTGTACTTTGTCATGTGCATATTTTGTGTTAGTGTGTATATTGTGTTGTGTGGATGTTGTATGTGTTTTGTGTGAGAACTGGATTTAGTGCTGCTATGTATCTTTTAGGTTGGCTGTTGAAACAAATATGGCTGACTCCTTGTTGATAAATTGTGAACCTTAGAAAGGTGTTAATTTATGTTCCTGTCTCATGTTTCATAAAGTAGAGATTTGTAAACAAATCATTGCAGGTGAGTACCATATATGTAGTTTAATTTTTATTTTGGGTAAATTACATGTGTTGTATAACCATAATGTTTTCATCATTTTATTAATGGTTTACACAAAAAACAAGTAGATAAATAAGACACATGTACAACACTGGGGTATCTTCATTTTGGAGATGTTTCATCATCCAGTGGCTTGTCATTTCAGTAATGGAAGATGAGATAAAGTACATAGTTTGAAGTGATCAGTCCCTCAGCCTTGGTCGGTGGTGGTCAGTCTCTCAGCTTACCTCAGCTTGCTGAGGTACGTAGTCAAACGTGGACAGAGGTCCAAGTTTGACTATGTACCTCATATACCTACAGGCTGGATGTGAATAAGACACACTGCAATTTATATCACTTACTGAGATGTTTCACCTGCCAGAGATTTCATCAATTCATAAGTCCCCAATGGAGAAAATATCTTGTCAATAAATGCCATCAACCACATATTGTGTTTTAGTCATATATTTATTTTACCTTTGATATAGACCAACAGCCTGGTTGACTAGGTCATTCTCTCAGGAAAACTGGTCAAAGACTATACTTGAAGGGAACTAAGCCTTGAAAATGTCATGTAGTGGACAACTGACAGACAAAAAGGTTGAATAGTATGGACTGAGTAGTGATGATTCACAGTGTTGAATAGTGAAGAAGGATGGTATTCTGAAGATGGGTGTGATTGAGTAGTAAAGATGTGTTGGAAAGTGAAGATACACAGGTCTGAGTAGTGAAGATGGATGGTGTTGAGAAAAGAAGACACACATTTAGTCATTTTATCACAGCTTAGAGGGGCATCTGAACTGTAGTATCAGCGTGCTTCTGGCAAGACAGTGATGAAGTGAGTGATGGGTCACCCACTTCAGTGGGAGATGACTGGTTTGTTAAAAAAAAAATCCTTTTGTAAGGTATATTATAAAGTCCAAGCCCCTCGCACACAAAACCTCCTTTACCCCCTCCCTCCGGCCTAGGAAAGGTTGGAGGGAGGGGGTAAAGGAAGTTTTGTGTGCGAGGGGCTTGGACTTCCAGCAGGCATCCGTGAGCGTGTTTGATAGGAGTGAATGGAGACAAATGGTTTTTAATACTTGACGTGCTGTTGGAGTGTGAGCAAAGTAACATTTATGAAGGGGTTCAGGGAAACCGGCAGGCCGGACTTGAGTCCTGGAGATGGGAAGTACAGTGCCTGCACTCTGAAGGAGGGGTGTTAATGTTGCAGTTTAAAAACTGTAGTGTAAAGCACCCTTCTGGCAAGACAATGATGGAGTGAATGATGGTGAAAGTTTTTCTTTTTCGGGCCACCCTGCCTTGGTGGGAATCAGCCAGTGTGATAATAAAAAAAATTATAAAGTTCAAGAACTAATTTAGTTTTACTCTGATACAGAAATTGCTGCAGAATTGAAGCAAACAAAGCTTGCTTTAAAAAATGCTGAACCAAAAGATATACCCCAGATGGGGGAGGCAGAAGCCAATGCTTTGCAGGAGATGGTGGCTAATCTCACAGAAGGAAAGGTGGCTCTTACTACTAAGGTGAGTAGTTTGCATCTTTTGGTCTGTCATTTTGCTAATTACTTTTCAATTTGTGCATCATTTATGAGGGTTGAAGTTAGGAAAAACTGCTTAAGTACTGGTATATCCTTAGGTATACATATCTTATCCCATTGTATTTCTATTGTAATTAAGTAACTTCCTGTATCTTCACCACCTCTGCTCAATCACTCCACAAAACTGAGGATTATTGAATCAGTTTGATATAACAAGTCATACTTTTTAAATTGCACCATTTGTTCATTAGCTCCCTTTCTTATTTTACAAAGGTTAGCTACCTCATTGTAAGACTTTTCCAAGACATTCAGCTTTATAAAACTCTTCTGATTTGTAAACAACTGATTTCGGTGACAAAAAAGAAATCAGAACATTGAGCTTTTTAGATCTGAATGATTTGGAAAAGGCTTACCGTGAAGTAACATGCCCATGTGAGCTTATTATAATATCTCCAACAATGATTGCGCATGTAGAGCACAGCTTCTGTGATTTAAACTAATTGAAACTTAAACCAGAAATTTTCAAGGTCAAGATTGCAGAGCTTTTCACTTCTGTAAATTGAAAAAATTACAGTGGTACCTCGGTTATTGAATAGACTGGTTGTCAAACATATCGATTTTCAAACAAGGAATTTGATCCTGGCTTTTGTACATGGTCTTGGTTGTTGACCAACAATGCTCAGCTCATGTGATCACCAGACAGAGTCCACAATGTGGGTCTCAGTCAGTATAGCGACTAACGCGCATTCTTTGAACATCTCTTGAGCTCTTGCTGTGCATCTTGTGAAGGTAATGAAACCAAAAGTATGAAATTTGTTGGAAAACTTATGGAATTACACTATCATGAAGTTAGCAGTCTCAGTGATATTTATGCATTGGTGATTTTGTCAATTTTGAGTCCTATTTCAGGCCAATTCTATTGTTCCAGTTGACCAGACTTGTAGCTATTTTGCTAGAACCCCTTTTATTCTATCAACTGAGTACAAAAAACTGTCCATTTACCTATTTTAACTACCCAGTAAAGTGATCTGAAATTACTAATTGGGCCAATTTCACACAAAATTCAAGAAATGCCAATTTAAAATAGGGTCCAGCATAAATAATGCAGACATTCCTGGCACTAAAATAACATTTTATCTGTTTATTAGTCACATATCCAGACCCTTCTTATATTACACTTTCTTTTCATTTTGAATTTTTATTCACACAAAAAATAGAAGATTTACTTTTATTCAGACTACTTCATAATTATAATAATTGTATAAATAATATCAGCGCATTCGTGAATGCATATTAGACCCACCAGTTGACATATATTGGATACGTGATGTGATTTGTTTACTCTTGAACATCGACAAAAATTTAACATTTCTGCTACTTTGAGCTTAATTTCAAGCTACTTTTAGTTTTTTAACCATTAAAAATCATCTCTATTTCTGTAATATATCTTCCATTTTCTTGAATGAGACCAAGAAAAATGAGAATACAACCATAAATACCATACAAAAATACACCATAAAGCCACTGTTTTTAACTAAAAACAATGTGTTTTTTAGCCCATTCCCGTTTTTATTTAATTTTTTTTTTATTTTGAAAATTCCCCAAAAAAATAGAAATTTATTTTTATTGGGCCCCCAATTTCCCCTAAAATTAAGCCATAAATTTTCCCATTCTCTTAAAAGGTTTAGACCCCCATTTTGCCCAATTTTGTACGGTTTAAATTTTTTATTTAAAAATTCCTTTTTCAGTTTTGGTTTAAAATTTTAACCCTTTTGTTTTTTAAACCCTTAAAAAACTTTATTTTTAATAAATTTTATTTTCTTTGTGAGCCAAAGAAAAGGGGAGAAAACAACCAAAAATTTACCTAAAATAAAAAAAATTTTTAAAAAAAACAATTTAAAGGCCCCCCCCAAGCACTGGTTTGGTTTTTTAAAAACAGAAAAAACCCATTTATTATGGGGCCTAAGTTTTTTGAAGGGAATTTTAAAGAAGGTTTTTTTAAAAATTTTTCCCCCCAAAGGAAAGGATTTTTCTTTTAACTTCCCAATATTTTTTAAATTTTTTTTTAAGAAGGCGGGTTTGGGGGATTTTTCAAGGTTTTATTAGAATGAAAATTAAATAAATAAAATGGGGGGATAGGGGACAAATGAAAAAAAGTGGGGAAAAATATAAGTTTTTGGGGAAAAATTTTGGGGTTTAAAAAACATTTTAAGGAAATAGGGAAGGAAACCTGGTTTTGTAAGTTTAAAAAAGATTTCAAGTTTTTTATGGGGATGGAGGTATTGGGTTTGGTGAAAGGAAGGGGGGAATTTTAAATTCCCCGGGAAAAGGGGGTGGGTTTAAATTAGCCCGGGGGATAGAAAAATTTTTTGGGTGGGGGGGGGAGGGTGGGGGGGATGTTTTGTTGGGGGTGGGGGGTGTGGGAAAGGGGGGTTTTTGGGGGGGAAATTGTTTGGGTGGGGGGTTATTTTTGGGTTTTTTTTAAAATGGGGGGAAGGGGGGGGGGGTTTTTTTGGGGGTAAAGGGGTTTTTATGGGAAAAGGGAGGTTTTTTGGGTGTTAGAAAGGGGGAGTACCCCGGTAAAACCAACAAAAGCACCCATTTTAAAAACGGGTTTTAAAGGAAAAAAATGTATTTTGGGAAAGGGGGTTGGATTAAATTTTGGGGAAAAATTTCAAAATGGAATTGACACAGAATTTTTGTTTAAAGGAAAACTGTGCTTATGGGGATACCTAAAAAAAAAATTCAAAAGGTTTAAGTGGATGATTTTGGAAAAAGTTTTTTAAAGGAAAAATTTTGAAAGTGAACTTAGAAAAAGGAGAAAGGGGAAAGGGGGAAAACAAATTTTTTTGGGGAAAAAAAAAAAGGGAAAAAATAAAATTGGTGGGAGGATTTTTGGAAAAAGGGTTAATTTTTTCAAAACTGGGATTGACTTTCCCGGAGGGTTTTTTATGAAGGATGGGGTTTAAAAACTTTAGAATTGAAGGGGAAAAAAAAGGGGCGAGGGGTTTTGCGTTGAGGTAAAATGGGGATAAAAAAAACTTATCAATGGGGGGCAAAAAAAGGGAATTATAAAAGTATAGTATGTATTCCCCCAAAACACTTTTTAAATTTTATTGTGAAGCTTGGGTGGAAAATTTGAAAAGCAGCGAGGGATGGTTGGAGGCAGTGGAGTTTGCCCTAAATTAAGGGCAACGTGGGGGTGTAAATTTTAAAGCAAAAAAATTCCCGAGTTTTGGAACTTTGGAAAAGGGTGGAGTTAAATAAAATTATAAAGGGGGGCAGAAAGGGGGGTTTGTTGAGGGGGTTTTTGGGTTTTTTTTAAGAGAGAAGGGAAACAAAAAAATGACAGGGAAAGCATATAAATCTAATGGGGAAGGAAGGTGGGGTGGGGGTTTCGTCCTGGGAAAGGGGTTTTGGAGAAGGGGGTTTAAAGGGGGGTTTTGGGGAAAGGGGCTTGGACTTCCACAAGCGGCGGAGCGTGTTAATGGGAATTAAAATGGAGACAATGGTACATGGGCCCCTAACGATTTTTTTGGAGTGAGCAGGGGTAAAAATTTAGGAAGGTTTTCAGGGAAAACCCCGGTTATTTTTCATATAGTCGGACTATGATTTCCCGGGAAAGGGGAAGTAAAAATTCCGCATTTTAAAAAGGAGGGGTTTGGGATATTGGCATTTTGGGAGGGATATGTTGTGAAATCTTTATATTAAAAGCAAAAAAAACTGTTTTTATTTTTAAGCACCTCGAAAAAAACATGATAAGGGTTTTTGGAGGTGGTGAAAGTTTTTAAATGGAGGGAAAAGAAATTTTTCTTTTTGGGGATTTTCTTTTTTTTTTTTTTGGGTAAACCCCTTGCCTCGGTGGGGGGAGACGGCCAAATTTTGTTGAAAAAAAAAAAAAAACCTGAGATTGGCGGGAGAGTGTTTTTTAAAATTATTTTCCTTTATAAAAAGGGAAAGGGGGACAAAGGAGTTTGAAAAAAATTTTGGGGGAATGGGTTTTTACCGAGTATACTGGGAAAAGGGGAAAAGTAGTTTTTATTTTTGAAAGAAGTAAAAGGTGGGGGAAAAAGAGTGGGGTTTACAGATGAGCAAGTGGCTTTAAAGGAGTGGGTAGGGATTATAACCCTATTTTTTGAACAAAATTTAAAAAAAGGTAGGGAAGTTTTCTTTGCACATACGGATTTAGAAAACCCAAAGGGGATGGGGGGGAAATAGGGAAGCAAGGGGCGTTTGTTTCAAGGTAGGGGAATGGGGGTATTTAAGTTACAAAATGCTGTAAAAAAGTTTTTATGAATAGTGGGGGCTCAGGTTAAGGTTGTGGGAAAGGGGGATTTTAAATTTTTCCAGAAACAAGTAGGTTTTTAAAAAGGTAAGTGTAATGCCCACCATGGTTTTTTTTTAACAAAATTTATATAAAGAGGGGTTGTAAAAAAGAAAAATTGCAAGGGTATTGGGGAGAGGAGGGGGGGTTAAAAATTGGGGGAACCCAAAAATACAAATTTGGGGGATTTTTAAACAGTTACTTTTTGCTGAAAATACAAAGTTTAAGGGAAACCTAAAGTAACGCCCGGCAAAGGTTAGTGGACGAGTTTTGGGGAGGTGGGAAAATTTCCGAAAGTTAAAGTAAAACATAAAAAAAAGGTAAGGTGAAAAAGAAAAGTTGGATATCACTTTGGGGAAAAGGGAGTTTTGGGAAGAAGAAAATTTTTTTCCAGATTTTTGGGGTTGGGGGGTTTTTGACTTGTCATTGGTTTGGAAAAAAAATTTGGAAAACCCCAAAATTTTTAAAAAAAAATAGTGGACTTTGAGGTATCGTTGGAGACAAAAAACTTTAAACCCAAAGGGGGCAAAAAAAGGGAATTTATGAAAGAATGGGAATTGCCCAACACTCAGCAAACAAGGGGCTTTTGGCCCAGTCCCCCAAAAACTTTTTAATTTTAAAACTTAAAAACCATGTTTTTTGGAAAAAAAAAAAATTTGTAA